AATTTTGGCGCATCCCGTGGAAGCAGGGCGGGGAAGGAGATCATCCATGCCTCCGCCTACAAGATCAGCGTTAACTAGGGAGTAAGCGAAAGTGTTCACGGGCTAGAATAACCACTGTTGTAAGATCCGTACGGTCTAATCACACTATGCAACTTCCGAACCGAAACGAACTTCACTAAATTGCTGAACCTTCTAAAATACAGTTGTTCTCCAACAGATTCGTTTTTTTCTATTTTCGCACTATTTGATTTACTCCTTTCGAAAGTGTTTCATTATGTCCATTTATAGGAACAGTAACGAGTGGAGTATAATGGCTATGTTGACACGCTTCAGCTTCAGCCTGCTTTCAAACACTTTTTACTTGGGTTGGCTGAAATGTGCACAAGTGGTTCTGAATCCATTTGGTCTTGATGATGACGATTTTGAGGTGAGCACATTTTGAAAATAAATCACCCTTCTTCAGAGTCTTTTGTAAATTTCGTACACAATAACTCTGCGTTCTATTGGCTCAAAACCAATCGAAGATTTGCCACTATTGAAATATTCCTACCCTAGTGTTCCGAAATCAAGCCAGTCTTTCACCGTCTTTTTTCTACGAGAACAGATTTGGCTGAAAATTTTCTTACTGGGGTCGTCTGACCTGAACGCGAATATCACATCCGCGTAGATCAAAATAAATGCCATAATTCGTAACCAATATGGACCCGTATACAAGTTTTCATCAAACTTGGTGAAAAAAGTGGCGGCGCCAAATTGGCGCATATAGGCGGCAAATTGCGCCAACGCCAGAAATGAGTGTCATATCCGTGATCAGGACATCGAATTCCATCAACAGGCAGAGTTTCAGAGAAAATTTTTTCAGTCTTCGGGTAGGAATAATTCAGTAGTGCCTAACATTTCCCTCACAAGAACACGTATCAACCGTCGTCTTGTTAATTACCCAGTTCCCTGAGAGGACACCAGTTTCGTCTCCATTTGTCCGTGTTGGAAACGGAGTAGTCTAGTGGATTCTCCTGGCTTGAGGAACTCGGATCCCTTCATCCCTTTAAAGCTTCCATGATGTAATCTGACCATCTGGCTCATGGTCATCGTGGTGTTCGTTTGACGCCCCTGCGGCATCCAGTCACAAACCGTTTTGGTCCAACAGTCATCAGAAAATTGCACATTATGCCCAGTTTACCTGCTCTTCCATTAAATGACGAACAAAGTAGTGTCTATCAGGGCACAGCATTCGATGGGGACAGCATTCGAATGGATTTGGCTCCGAGCTGTTCGACACCCCCCCCCCATTTTTCAGGGGCTGGTACGACCCCCACCCATGCTCGTACATCGTTAGCCGGTGCATGCTTGCTACATTAAACACCCCCCTCTTTCCCCGCTCGAGAGCTTTTCCCATGAATGACAACTGGATTGGCTGACTGTGGTTGGGTGTTCTACTCGGACGAAAAATTTCTGGCTCTGGGGGGGATTCAGCAGAAACTCATGAAGTGAACCACGTAACTCCTAGACAGAAATACGACCCCCCCTCCCAACAATGAGCAAATACGACCCCCCCTCCAAAACGTCCGCAAAGCGAGAAAAATCAACTATAAAAATAAATTTTTCCCAGCCCAAATACGACCCCCCCATAGGGAATCCCCATCGACGTGCCCTGGTCATTTGGTCAACTACAGCTTACTCTTTGTTCCCAAGGCATTTTTCTTTTGATGGATTTCTGAGTTCTTATAGAGAGTGTAGTATATGGAGCGTCGGCTACAGTCATACGGCACTGCTCAGCGAAGTCGCGTTGTTAATTCACGGGCGGAGCCATATTTCATGCAGTGGGGCTTTCTTCCGCTGCTGAATGCACTCCTTAGATGCAGAGAGGAAGGTCGCAACACTGAGCGAAGGAATTCCGCCAACGCCGAATGGACCATGTGGCACTTGTCCTTCAGAGTGCATATGGAAAATGTCCCGAGCGACGCACGACTAAACTGCACATGCTAAATGTTTCATAAGTTGGGAGTGCCCTGAATCTCAGTGATGCCTCAGATAGTCGTATTAGACCCCTGGCGATTTGCCATGCTTCTCCCAGAAGTGGAAATATCATAGCTCACCTTGAACATGGAATTCCACCTCTCAGGTGGTCGCGAAATGTGCCTGTGAATCTGAAGATCTTTTTACCCCTCCAACAAATGTGTTGGCACAGGTTAGAGATGGACCAAACAAGTTAGACTTGAAGTACCATTGAGTTTTTGCCTGTTTGCCGCACAGGCAGTCTATGCTGCTAGAATATTTCTGAAATAGAGACCGAAACGCATGCACACATCAGTTAAAAGGGTGGAGCCGCGCAGGGAATTTCTACCTTCCTTCAATACTAATCTTTCAAGGCTTGCGCATTAATTGACATGTACCAGCGATCGCTGGCAGCAATTCTGACCAGACCGGAGACGATGCAGCCAATTGGACGACACGTTTCGTCGATTGCCACAACTGTAGGCAGACGATAGATGGAAGGATAAGAGAATTTCTAGATTCCTACCGTAATGAGGCTATCTAAAAATTAATCAATGATTCAGAGAGTTAGTAAACTTCACTGGTTGGTCTCATGGCTCATAAAACCTGCTGTCACAGTCGTGGAAGAAGTCGTCACAGAAACCGCACTGCAACCCAACAAAGAACTCTCGAATAAAGAACAATATGAACAACGATGCCATATATCTTTAAAAAGTATTAAAATTTAATAAATATATCCTTCGAGCGAATGGTCGACTCTCGGCACATCATGCTAGCAATACCCGGATTCAAATCGTACGGCTTTTGTTTGCCTCGCGGAGCCGGATTCCGGTATTTGACTCCGGTCTGCGTAGTTTGTCTTACCTCCCAGAGACGATAAATTGGTCGAATACGTCTGGGAGACAAATGAACACCGACTTCTGCATCGGCCGTCTCGCCGCAAGGGCATGTGCAGCGCACTATCGCCTTCGGCCACACTCAATTTAACCCCACGATCTGAGTTGAAAGTACGAATGAGCGCCGCATTCCAGAAAGGATTGATCAACGCGAAAGACTCTTCCTCCATTCATAACACCTTCCGCAGTACCGAATAACCGTTTCAAGACAGCTAAGTGTAGGTAAGTGGTAGACATCCAACGTTTTGACCTGCACGAATGCATCGTTGCGTCCGCGACCCGACAGTTGCACCAGCATCTGTAGTCTTGTTTGCTGCCGATGTGGGTCGTATCAGGTTGGATGGGTCTGGCGCGCGCGCCAGCCCATTTTTGCCTTCTCTTTTCAAAGCCGACGAGACTGTTTCACACATTCGTTCAATCAGTCCGAATGCACCAGCTTCTTGTCAGGTACTCGCCTCAGCAAGTGAGGAGAATGCTGGCAGCGCAGCAAATTCAGTCTCATGGATGACCTTATTTCGCAGCGAATGAGACTGTGGTTCAAGTTGGTAAGAAGATATTACAGTCAGCTGGGTCAGCTAGCTGGTACATGCTGGATTGGCAAACCAATACCAGCGTGTAGCCGCAACTCGGATTTCATGAACTCTCTCTCCCCCCCCCCCCCCCCCCTCCCGAAATGAAGGCTATGAAGCAAGCACAGCATGAGCCCGCTAAGACTTTCACTACGAATTCGCGAACTGAACAACCTTTACTATCCATATAAAACCAATAGTACACGAACACTTGAAAAGCACCCCTCATTTTGACAACGAAAACATTGACACTACTTGATATCTAGGCAATTCTAATGACACACTGAATTAAAACACTGCTGAGTGACCCGTAACACATGTGAAAATATTCAAAGAGGACAACAACAAGGCAGCGCTTATAGTCTGCGACACCCCCAACTGAGCAATCGAATTGATCGCTCAGGGCAAGGCACATATTAGCCTTCATCGCGCGCTCATCGTTGTCGCAGAGTACGAACGCTGAATGAGATACAGTAATCTAAACCATACTCCTCTAAGAAATCGTCTCTCACATTCATATCTGAGGCCAAATAGAGGCGTTCCCACGCGTGCAGCTGCGAGCGACGCTACGGCTCCCAGAGTCCAGGCGGCAGAGAGGCTGAGATGTATGCAGATTCAAGACAGGACAATCAACACCGGAATAGACAACTGCGCAACGATGCACACGCGGGAACCCTTTCTCCTGCCATAAGTGAACTTAATAAAACCGCTCCAATACAAATGGTGAACAACATCTGAATAATACATACAGCGAATGTCCACAAAAAGGGTACGGTTTAACAAATAAACCCAAAAAGATTACGATAGACGTGAGTCGTGTTGACTGACGACGTGTCATAAAACATTCAGAAAGGAGAAATGAAAAACTTCGCCCCATACTGTAGATTACAATGAGTACATACAACAATCGTAAAATGCGCACTGGGATGCAATCAATGTCGCACACCCAAGAGAGCTGCCCTGCCGCCATTGAAAGCTCAGTCAGTTCACCGTACGTGAAAGCAGCTAGCCAAAGTTCTCAGGATCATGAATTACCGTGTTAAAAACAAGTAATGCGCCACTCGGAACGTGGCTTTAAGTAAAACAACAGGTTTTAGAATGCACAATGATAAAAGGGAAAAGCGCAGAGAAAAAGCTCATTAATATGCAAATGGTAGACATCAAATCTCAGAATTTCCATAAAAAGGTAAGCAGATGACAATCATACTCACTAATAACAAAATTCTACAATTCTAACACCAAAAGAACAATATGACAAGCAAAATTTAGAGGAGCGGAATGAAACGTTTTTTGAAAGGAGAGGCGCAAAAGGTACTCTTGTATCTGACAACAACAGAACGGAAATTACCATTTTCAAAACTCCTCAAGCAGCTGGGCAAAAGGGAAGAGCGGTTCTAGCACTATAGTTTGGCGTAAGGCTCCGACAGTGCCCTAGTTAGGACGTAGGCGCGGAGGAGTTGGCATTCACCCTACTTCTACCCCTCATCTGCAGTCAACCAATGAGGTATCAAGCCTATCTGTCCTCTCACAACAGACTGTTCTCGAGAAGCACCTCAAAAAACCTTTTGTGGCGCTTGGCTCCCGGAAACTGTTACGCTGACAAAACCTCCAGTAACATAACAATACACTCTAGTTCGCTGCGGAACAGTTGGGCGTGTAAGATATACGAGTGTGTTACGAGCGGAGCGTCAAAGCCGTTCTCTGCTTCTTTTGAGCCGCATTGCGAGCAAAACGGTGATAGAAAACGATTTAATGCGAACAGTATGATACAGTATATCACTCTGCTGCTTAACAGGGGAAGAAGTGAGGGATGAGTGTCGGTTTGGCACACCGTACCAAAAACTCATCTCACCCTACACGCCCACAGCTAGGAGAGGCTTCTGACTGACCTCAGTGCTAAGACGGCTCCTGTGGAAACCCGTAACACTTGACAATAGTTTACAGGTCTTTTCAGAACAGGATCCGCAATTTAACAGGAACTACTAAAAAATCCAACGAAATGCAAAATCCCTCTTCCCCCCCCCCCCTCCTCACTCCTACAATGAAGCCAGGAACTCCGCTGGAAGTAACTGTCGGTACAGAGGCAAGATATTCAGAAAGGGAGAGTGAAATAATAGGAGAGAATACTTACAAAACAACCGGGATGCTAGGTAGAAAGAATAGGAATAATTGAGATGCCCCACCTTTGGCTGAGGCTTCATATAATCAGTTTCTTTGCTATTTTCCTCGTTTCAATGAGGGCGTACTCATAATTCATTCAATGAGGGCGTACTTATGGCTTCTCCGAAACCAAATTCCGCCATTGCGCAATTTGGAGAGGAATCAGTGCCACTGCATCATCACTGTCCAGTTCATCGAATGGAACGAATTGGAAGTTCTGGAAAGAAAATTCAATGCGTAGAACGTAGTGTAAGAAAATTCTATCGAGAAAAGGAAACAACCTGTCTGGCCAATGGACGACCTCAGAGAGCTTTCACGCTTGCAAATTCTCGATCCTTAATAGAATAAGTTTAGCAAGTTTGCTAATAATGGGCGCATTTTGACATCTTATTCGAATACCTTCCCAATTCCAACGGCAATTATGCTCATCGGATGAGGAGAACAATCTACGATGGCTTCAATAGTGCGGCGTGGGTTTGTGAGACCTCCATCGGTAAGGATCAACAGGACAAAGTACAAGCCAAGTCGGCGTCTCGATTCAGCTTTGGCAAACCTGTAAACCAACAAAATTCACACCAGCTAGGGAAAAAGTCGGCACAACTCTCCAGCTGAGTATGAAGTCTTTGAAACGTAAAAAGAACAGCACAAATGTCAAATAACCAAATAAATAACAACAGATCACAAATAGAAATAGTACGAAATTATAGCTTCCTCCAGCTAACTCACTTTGACACATGATAAATGACTTCAGAAAAGTCTGTAGGTGCAAAGGGTTGCACTGCCATCATAGCCGAACGATATGCTTCCAGTAGTCCCTTTATACCATCTACTTGAGGATCGTTAGGATTGCCACTCTGAACAGTTCCAAATAGAAGCTGATCTGCTCACAGAGCAGGTAACGAATACTAGAAATGCGCACGAACAGTCGGCAAAAACCTTCTAGTTCCCATTTCAGTTCGGACTCGGGGACACATTTCACGATTGAAGTCGTAGGTAGTGCGGTACAAACATGGATTCGTTGCTGCTAATTGACTTACTAGAGGATAAAAGCAGAAGATTTGGTCAAAAATGCCCCAAGTAAGATCTGGGAGCGGGACGAGCATACGGGGTATGAACGGGGTGGGCATCTTCACAGAGGAACTTCCTTGCAGTTCTGTTACCAGAAGACAACGTTCAGACTTCGCGTCGACCAGCTGTAACACGCGTCAACGCGCTGTCATGGGACAGCGCTGCTATGCTGTTGACGAGAACGAGGTCAGTGACGGGTATCGATCGGCGCCGGCCGCTACTGCTTGAGAGAGTACGGGAGAATGGGAAGGTACGACTTGTCTTTTCACACTGTCTGCTATCGGTCGGCGCCGACCGTTAGTATTGTATAGTGGAACAGAAGGATACCAGACTGTGTGATCAGGCAACGCGTACCCCTTATTCTCCTATACTTTTTTGCAGCAGTAACCACGCTGCTGAACTACACCAGTCTATGGTATAGTTCCTGTCAGTAGCAGCGCTCCAATGCTACTGACAGGTATGGTTGCATTCCTGTCAGTAGCATTGGAGCGCTGATGTAATGGTAGCGCGTCAACGCGCAGCACAGCACGCCATAGCGAAGTCTGAACGCTGCCGAAAACATGCATAATTGCCGCGGAAACAAAACCAAACTCAAAAACCATGCATATGAATGTGGATGGCTCAAGATGCCAAAAACGCAGAAACGTGATCAGAATGCTCACCAAGGAAAAACACTGAGATAACTCAAATCGAGGCTCTGTTCGTGCGCCAAATCCCAGTGCACCTAGAAAATACATCTAAGCAACATCGACAACTAAAAGTGAACATATATTGAAAAATGCTGTGCTGATACCTATTCTTGAGTGAGCCATGTAACCAAGGAATAGCGGTGTAAGCCGAAGCATTGCAGCCACGTAGGGACTTGCAGCGTGTGGATGAATAAAATGCAACGAATCGGGTTGGTTAGGATTTCCATTTGATGCTGTCATATCTATCGCTGTAGTGAGGTGAAGATGAGTGCTGGAGAAGAAGGTAAATTACCTATAGATATAACGAAATCATCCGCTTCATACTTTTAAAAAAACACTAGTTTTACAAGACTTTAGAGAAAGATAACCCTCAGAGTAGCCTCGAGGCTCAAATCG